TTTTTTTTGTTCCCCCCCCCCCCACCCCCCCCCCCCCCTGACTTCACATCGCGTGACTATACTGTAATTATTCTCAGGACCTATCGATTTCGATCGAGAACGAATCGCGCGTATCGAACACTGGTCGGAGATTTCTGATCGACACGTTGATCGACACCTCTGCCGTCCGATGCTGATCGATTGTGTTCGCGATCCTCGACAGCACGGATCGATAATCGTGTATACGTCGCTAGAGGGATAGGCCTTTTTACGTTGGATGGACAAAATTAGTATTTCACATCATCAGAGATATATCCCGCTCATTGTCGCCATGTGTCGATGATCGAGTGTTCATTTCGAGCCGAGTAGTCGAGTATAAAATACGTTTTTAGCGAGCTGAAACAAAGAGAAAAAAAAAAAAAAAAAACGAAACTATAACTTTGGGGAACCGCTGCCAAACAAGGAGAAGAATAAGGAAAGAAATGAATGAATTGAAAAAAGAAGAGAAAGCGCGACGCGTGTTTACCAAGTCTCCATGAAGTCAGTAGCCGATATATATTTATATATAAATATATATATATATATATATATATATATATATATATACATACATATATGTTTGATATATGTATGTGTATATGCATTCGTTTGAAATATGTATACGTAGGTTTCTAAAAAAATTCGTAGGTTTCGTTCGATGTGTGTGTGCATGCTGATGCAAAGAAAGAAGCACTTGGTCGAGGAGGAAAGGGGCGCGGGAAAATCTGGAAAGAGGGGGGGCCCTATCTACGATAGGGTAGTTTAATTTTCACGGGAGCTCGTTAATTCGCTGCGTGTTGCGTTAACGCGGACGGGAGATCTTTTTTCGTAGGTCCGTTCGAAAGAAAGAAAGAAAAAAAAAAAAAAAACAGAAAACGCAGGACTTAATTTCGAAAGAGAGAAAAAAAGAGTTAAAAAAAAGAAAAAAGAAAAAAGATGGAAAGGCTTTAAAGGGCCTATTTTACGTGCACCATATTCTAGTCTTAAGCACTCTATGCCTTACACTGCCAGTTATAAAGACGCGCTGTTCTTATGGATATCTGTAAACGGTACACACACATATGTATATATACAACGATGCCATCGTCGTCGACGTCGTCGTCGTCCTCGTCATCATCGTAATGTACTATGTTCGTCTCATAATTGATCACACGCATCGTCATTCACCCTTTCGTAATTGATACCTGCGACGATGATTTTTTCTTTTTTTAATTGTCATTGTTAAGTTTCCATCTTCGTTTCTTTTCATTCGATCTTTTCACAATCGGTTTCTATCACTTTGATTGCTACTTCCGTGTGCTAATCAATGTTTATTCGCCTCCACACCCCCATTCCTAACTTCTCTTCTTTTCTAATACTCATGCACATCTATGTGTACTCTTTCTCTCTCTTTCTCTCTCTTTCTCTGCCTCTCTCTGTCCTTTTTATCACTCTTTCTCTGTCTTTAATTTTCTCTTCAAATCGGAGTTTAGAAACGAAAAGAAAAACAAGAAACGAAACGAAATAATGTGTTTCACGTGGAAACTTAATCTAGGAAAAAAAGAGAAAAAGAACAAAATGGTAAAGGATAATCGCTACTAATTTCACGCAGACTTTGATAGACACGATCGCGTCTCATGAGTGGTGGAAACATTGCCTAAATTAGTTCCACAAATTTGGAAAATCTACGAGAGCGAGTGATTCAAAGATAAAACCAAACGACGAAAAGGAAAAAAGGTGTATATCAACCTTATATGATCACGATTATCGTTAAAATGGGCATCGAACATTTTCTAAAAAAAAGAAAAAAGAAAAGAAAAGAAAAAATGGAAGAAAACGTCAAATATTGATGGAGGAACTAAGGAAGTACACACACACACACACACACACACACACACGTACATACACATACACAGAGGTTATCGATATCTTGCTGTTACCGAAGTTTTTGCATGCTCAGTACCACCGTTCTCGTTATTGCCGTTTTTCTCACCCGATTGTCATCCTCGTTGTATACCTTTATACATTTCTTTCTGCCCGCCGTCAAGATCGCACCGATCATCCGAGTGAACTTAAAGAAGGAAACAAACAAAAAAACCGGATGCAAAAAAAAAAAAAAATATGATGAACGAAACTCGACTCGTCACTCTCGTCCCGTCCCTAAACTGCATTAAGCATCTTTTTACGCTCCGATTGTTCTTACTCTGTACTCTATATTTAAACGCATTTCGCGACTATTTAAGATTGTGTAGAGTATAAAAAAAATAATATCGTGCGTGGAAAGTAAGAAAGAAAAAAAAAAAAAAAAAGAGGAAGAGAAAAAGGGGGAAGGAAGGTTGATAGTTCCGATATCCGAGACAGAATGAGAGTGAAGAATATATATATATATAAAAGAAAAAAAGAAGAAGAAAGGAACGAGTAAAGTACATACACGTTGTCCTCTCTCGATGAAGGCGAGTCACAGTGTTTTATGAGAAGAACGAAGGGTTGGAGGAGAGAAAAAAGGGGACGAATGATTCCATGGGGGAGATCCAAGTGAAAAATGCAAAATAACGATGGCTACCGCGGTCAGCTTGATGATATTTCGGCATACAGAAGCTGCTCGTGTGTCAGGCTACTCAGAAATCGTTCTCCTGAGGTTTAAAACACACATGTAGTCGAGTTCTCGTAGCAATCGAAGTTGGAGAATGAGAAAAACTGTCCTTGTATATACCTCGCGACGATCGTCACCGGTGCGAACCCTTGTAAATCGGCCACTTTGTTCCGGGGACGTCTCTGTACCTTTTGTGTTTCCTTTCGACGTTGCTACGAGCAAGAAAGAAGAAGATGTAAGAAGGGGGAAAAAAGTGAAGAAGAAGAAGAAGAAGAAGAAGAAGAGGATAGAATAACAAAGTGTGAACTTATTTCGACATGATGAAAGTGAAAAAAAAAAAAGAAAATCATATTTGTGTAGCGGTATGATGTTGCATCGATCTGTAACGTCGTTTCCCGTCTCATCCTTCGAACTGATTATCGATCCTGTAACGAGATCGAGTTGTCTTTACTTAACGATGTAAATATACTATATATATGTTATATATATACACATATACATATATATGTTATATATATACTATATATATACATATAATGGTACCTCAAGCCTTTGATCGGTCATCGATCTCTAGGGCCCTTTATCATGTCCACAACATTGCTTATGTATAGATTACAAGAGTAACACATAAAAAAAAAAATGATTTCAAACAATTCACTTACTTTTCACAGTATTATTGCTTTCTTCTCCCAGTATTTTCTCGTGTTTTTTTCCTCTTCTTTTTTTTTTTTAGTAAATTCGTATTGTCACTGATCACAGACTGATCAATTGTCGTGAAAATGGTCCTACAGATCGATCAAGCAATCCGACAATTTCTTTGTTTTCGTTCAAAGGAACTCGATGGAGGCGAGTAGTCAGAGAAACAATTGTGTATACCCTTAAAAGAAAAGTAACAACCTCATTGTCATTGTATCAGAGAGTTAGGGGGAAACGGCGATGGGCGGCGCGACTTCCGGTAGCACGCGAACGCCATACTTCCTCAGTAGATTTGAAAATTAAATATTCGCAAGTAAAAAATCGTCGTCCCCATCGCTGAGAAAAAAAAAAAGAATAATAATTGTTTTCGTCGGTATTCCCAGATTGCAAGGTTAATCCTTTTGCTGCATTTAAATATTCTTACAAAGAATTTATTGTTAACCGTTGTCTTCTGTCCTTGTTGAATCAATAATAATAATAATATTAGTAATAATAACGACGACGACGATGATGATAATGATGATGATGATGATGATGATGATGATGATGATGATGATGATGATAATGATAATGGTAATTGACTCTCAATATCAACCTCGTAATAAATATTGATTGTTTGCGAAAGAATTAATCTTGTTGGAGAGTGAGATTTGTGGCGCATGCACGTGCGCAAGTTTCGAATCACGAAGCGACGTGGTACGTTCGTTGATGTATCGTCGCCATTCGTAATACATCACCCAGTTCCGATACAACCAGCGAAACAGATGGTGAGACGTGTGCCGAGTATTTCGTGGTGTAGCAGCCTGGGGGAGGGGAGGGGGGGAGGGGGAAGAAATTTCTGTTGATCGACTGCAACTGCATAGCCAGAAAGATACTATTTTCAAAATCTGGTATTTCCGGTCTATCGTAGAACCGAAACGTGCCACTGCCTGCGAGACGCCGGACGTTGACACTTTCGTACTGGCATTTAACGTACATACATAGTAACTTTTTCTCTTGGGTTCACGCTCCGCCATTGTTCGATAACCGCGTTAACACATCTCCGAGCACCGTGCATCGAGGTTTTCCTTCCTTTTCGTGTTGTCGATCTCTTTTCCCAGAGAGATTCATCTGAAACAGCCGCGTACGCTTGACTCGTAATTCAACAGCTGGAACGTTGTGCGACGTAAACTCTTTTGCAAAAAAAAAAAAAAAAAGAAAAAGAGGTTGGAAAAGCTCGACCGACGCTGTCAGAGAGATCGAGTTCGCGTCTGAACGACGTAAAAAAAGAAAAAGAAAAAAAAAAGGAAAATAAAGAAGTTAAATAGCGTTAATCGCGTCCTTGTACTATAAGCAATAAACGAAAAAAAAAGAAAAGAACAAAAGAGAGAGTGAACGATGCAAGACAATTCCGAAGATCGATACCAGTGACCCAATATAAAATACAAGTGTTGCAATATCTTACTGCTGGGTCGCTCATCGTGCTCGAGACAGCGGCGAGTTTCCTCTTCGTTCTCAGGAGAGAAAGAGGGGGATCCCACACCAGAGAAACGTGACGAACTATCTGGGGGGGGAGGGGGGCTAAAAAGAAGAGAAAAAGTTAAAACAAAAAAGGAGAGAGAGCTACCTTAGACGCGTCGAAACTTGTATTTAAAAGAAAAAAAAAAAAAAGAAAAAAAGAACACTATGCGGATCTATATCGAATAATTATATTTTACACACCTAGCGACGTTTATTCTCGCCCCGTTGTTTAGAAGAGAGATCTTGTCGTTTCGTTTCGGTTAATTGTCAAGTACAAGATTATTTACGTAAGAAGAGAGAAGCAAACCAAACAGAAAAAAGCAAAAACAAACAAAAAAAGCAGAGAGAAGAAAGAAAGGATAATCTCTATAAACTGTTCAAAATTTCGTCGACGTCGCGCCTTCGTCATTATCTTCGCAGCCATTAGGCACACAACAACCATCGTTCTTTGCGTCAATTTCCTGCCGTTTTCGCGTCCGTGATTATCGATCGCTGAACAAAAATCGATCGTCGATCGATCGAGCCACGGCTGTTCTGAAATACCAATTGTACTCTCCGTATCGTTCTCCCCGTGATTGTTTACTGAAAATATGAAACAAACAAATTAAATACGATAAAGGAAATACGAAAGCAAAATCGAGCCCCCTTTTTAGATCACTATCGGCTCCCGAGTATCACACAGGCGATATTCGAGCGAAAGGCGAAGTCGAAATTCACGGATATCGAGATCCCGCGCGATACCAGTAGTATCGATAACCGTTGAGTTTGAAATTGTCTTTTAGGTTATGTGTGATAGATTCTTTCGCCGAAAGTCGTTGCTTTTCTGCTTGGATCTTTCGAATTTCACGATCCAGTTGTGATAAGTCGAAAAAAAGTTTGGAATTAAGAAAACTTACTTATTCGTAGTTCCTCGAATCGTCGTTATTTTGATTTTCAACAATTGAACAATTCCGTTTCGAGTTGAAATGCACATCGTTCGGACGCACGCGTTCGAAAAAGAGATCTACGCGAAGTTTGTCTGACTTCAGGTCGTATGGACGACGAGAAACGGCTGGAATTTCGAGTCGATGATCGATCGTTATTAGTGGATCCAGAACGACACGAGAAAACTCACCATTTTGCGGTTGGGACCAAGTCTCGACGATCGTCAAGAGTAATTAGAAAGAAAAAAAAGAGAAAAAAAAGTATTAAAAAGTATAAAATAATAATAATACTAATACTAATAATACTAATAATAATAATACTAATAATAATACTAATACTAATATTAATACTAATACTAATATTAATAATAATAATAATAATAATAATACCATTGAGCTAGCGGAAGAGTCGATTTCTTTCGACAGCTTAGTTGTGTCTCGTCGTATAAATAATACGTAAAAAAGAAAAAGAAAGAAGAAAAATCCTAGCTATGTCGTATGCACGCGCGCTCAGAGTCAAGAGATTACAAAGTGAAACAGAGAAAAGAAAAAAAAAAAGGAAAACAAAAGAACACGTACGTACATCGATTACATTTCCATCGTTTTCTCAATTTACTGGATTTCCAGGCTATCGATCGCCGCTTCGCCAATCACAAAAGCCCAGTGGCGGATAATGACAGCGTGCCCAGATAATGCACATTCAGTTCGCGAGTAAGTTCATTGAAGAAAAGAAAAAAAAAGGAAAAAAGAAATTGCGTGCATGTCTTTACGTGTGGAAAAAAAGGAAAAGAACAAAAAAGAGAAGAAAAGAAAAGAGAAAAGGACAAGGTGAGAGAGAAAAATGGAAGAAAGTAAAATTAACTCGTGAATCAAATAAAAATACAGAGATCATGCTGAAAGCGTGTGTATATATATATACATATATATATGCATATATACATACACATATACATATAGTGAAGACATTGAACACTATTAAAATACTAATTTACTGCTAAACCAGATAACAAAATGAAAATATGAAAACTATAAACGAAAAAGAAAGTGGTGAATGAAATTACAAAGAACTAAATTTTGGTAAATAAGCCTTCGTTTCCGAGTAAGGATCCTAGGAGTTATGCAAATATGTTTTTTGCAAATATATTGAGCGCAACTACCTGATAAAAACGCTAAATATATTAAGCTAGTTATTTATAGTGAGTTTCATCCAAAGCGTTCTTGGGGGAGTATCTGAGGTTTATTCCAATTTGTCAATGGGTTATGCCGATACAGATACAGATGCCGATGCCGAGAGAAAATGAGAGAGCGTGTGTTTTAATTCTCACAGTTTGCCTCAAAAACATACCAAACAGCATGAAAATATAACGAAGGGAAGGTGTGACATGTATATGTGTATGTACGTATGTATATATAAATATATACATATACATATATATGTATATGTATATACGTATGTGTATATATGTATATGCATATATACATACACACATACACATATATAGACATATATGTGTGTGTATGTGTGTTCAGAATATGTATGTCGTTATGGATATTCAGAATATATATACATATACATATATATGCGTATATATATATATCTATATGTATATACAGCAGTAATAAAACTGAAGAGTTATACTGTGCCAGAATATGTAATATCCTGTGTTATGATTGGAACTTGTTGTAATTCAGAAGTATTTTGAGAGAGTATCCTTTCTAGCGACGAGTCGGAACTTAAACTTAAGCAAGTAATATATTTATTGAAGTTAAAGTGTGGTAAATTTTAGAAACGTTGGAATTATGTTTCATATAACGAGTTATTGATTTGTTTCACATGTGCAATCATATAATGTGAAATGATATATTGTGAACACTAAAATAGATAATGAAAAATTATATTATAAATTTGAATTTACAAAAGTTTAATTGAACGTTATAAATAAAGAGGAATACACAATTATACAAAGTCGAACCAGAGACAATTTTTGCTATTTTTTTTTGCAGCTTCATTTTTGTGACGAACGCCTTTTGATTCACTCAGTCAGCAAATCGTTGGTTTCATTATATCAAGCATTATGACAATAGTATGTTACTATGGTAAAAGTTATCGTTAAACCGGTATCTCAACCGGTTTTTGCTTCAGTAACTTTTCCTTTTTCATTATGAACAATTTTATTTTCAATTAAATCTCAACGATCGAGTATCTGTAATGTTCAATTTATCAAAAAAAAAATTTTCTACAATTCTTAATAGTAACTATTTTACAAATTTATCATTGTATTGTTATAAAATCTCTTATCCGTTAAAATACTCTTCTATATTTTATTATTAATAATGTTACACTGTACAGTACAACATTAATATAAATACGATATTGAACACGTCGTGGAGATATGTTAGAAAATTCAGCATACCATCAACTATAAGACGCCATTGACCATGAAAATAATCATTACTCTGCTGCGTGTTCTTTTTGGAGCAAGCCGTACCTTCGTTGCAATTCTTCTTCCATAGCTTGTAGCTGTTCTCTACTTTGTTCTTGCGTCATTTGCTCCATTAATTCGTGGTTATACGTAGAATGAAGCATTAGAGCTAAAACACCAGCCCTAGTAGCCATATTCGCTCGAATTTGTCTCTCCTGTTCGACGAGTTCGTCTATTTTCAACCATTGTCTCACCCTCTCCATGTCGATTTCCGCTCGTCTCAGTTTCTCCCAGACATAGTGTTTCACGCAGCTCTTCTTCGGCGCCCGGCAGAATTCACCAGTTATATCGAACACATTTGTAACCAACGGACAACCACACACTTCAGTTTCACTGATTTTTGGATCCTTGCAGTGTTCAGGGCAAAGAACCCTCAATCTTTTACAGTAAGTTCGATTCGCGGGATTGTAAAAGTCACAAAACATTACTTGTCCCTCGATACGGGTTTTAAAAATTGAACCAAACGATGCTTGAGATTCATACTGAAAAGCAAGAATGCATAATTTAATTCTTAATATAAATATTAAAGAACTGCAAACGAGATGCTTGTAATCATTATAATTGATAATTTTGAACGACGTGGAAAAATAAAAATATAAAACACAAGTTTTTCCAACGTTCAAAGCCCTATTTCCAAAGAGATAGAAGTTAACTGTGTACATTTAATAAATTTAGAGATTCGAAAACGAAAAATTATAAATATTGCACAAATGTTCTTGCCAATTGTACCATGATTACTGGGGCATCCTGCATCTTTTTAATCATAGTGGTACCTTGTTAAAGCATTTTTCCATGTGCTTGATGGCAGTCCTCGAATGAATCTCGTGACCACAAGTAATGCAATACATGCTCATCTCCGTGTCGTCGTTGTCGTCCACTTCCGCTTGAGGATCAATTGTTGCATGCTTGGCGCGTTCGATAATTCTATCCAGTTCCGCGTGCCTCTTATCTAACTCCTGAAGTATTCTTCTAACATCCTGCTGTTGCTTCCTGACCATTTCTAATTGCCTTCGGTTGTTCTGTTCCGCGATACACGGCGTCAATGACCATTCCTGTATCCGTTGAGGTAACACTTGGTAAATTCTGTTAGTTGCCAGTTTCAAGCCGCACTCGTCGGAGCAATATTTACTGCCTGCTCGTGATTGTTTCGTACAAGCAGGCCCATAACAATGTCTTGGCGCTTCCAAATATTCATTCCTTTCGTTGCTGGAGTCTCTTTTTCGTTTCTTAATAAACTTTGAACTTTTGTTAAAACTCTTTGACGGTTTTAATGGATCACCCAATACCCTGCAAGTCCTTTGGATACATCTGAGTTTCAATCTGACCGAAGGTCCGAATTTTTTCAAATGTCTATAAAATAATAATTAATAAAAGATAAAGATAGTTTGACAGCTTTTAATTTACTTTCATACTGTGATTACCTGCATGCATCGCATTTCCCGCAATTTTCTGTTCTTAAGCAACCTGTGCATTCTCCGCAACGTTTCGATGCCTTTTTTACTGTCGTAGGATCCCAGGGTGCGTCATATTCATATCGGTGTGCTCTTTCCTTTTCCTTGTGTTTCTTGTACTTACGATCTTCCTGATCTGTCCTTCGGGGCTTATAACGTGTTATCAAAGTTGGATCCTCTTCTCTACAACGCTGAAAGTATATTCAGTTAGAGTACGATCTTTTAAGTACAAAAAGCTTACAAAAAATAAGTTTTTACAATACAAAAGAACTGTTTTATGTGCTTGGCATCTTTCTCCGTTATATTTATGCAGTCGCCGTGATACCATTCTTCACATGCATCACATCCTCTGAAATTAATTTAAACATTAGTTTTGATTCACCAACAAACAATAAACAACTTATGCTTATTTTACATCATAAAACGTGAGCTATCCGAACTTCTGCAGATGCAATACGCTTGTCCATCCTGTTTCAATAAAGTGGCAATTTTACTTTTTCTCTCTGGCAACATAAACTGTTTTGCTATTTCTTCCTTCTGTAAAACAGAAGCACTCATTTTATACTCGTAGAATTATATAAAAGTAAATTGATAGAGTACTTTAAACATTTTACACGATCTTCAGACTTAAATTTGTTTCTCCTTATGATATTTTATCAATTTACTAATGTTAAATTTAAATATTCTAAAAAGAAAATATGTGCACTAAAATTATGAGTACATACCGATAAATTCTGTTGCCTTTTATCACTCATGGCTGTAGATTATTATTCAGCACAATGATTCAAAAATTTATTGCTCAGAAAGTTTGCAATCCAGGAAACATAATGTCACTTTTAACACAACACAAAGGAACACTCTTCCGCCATGACAGAACAGTCACTGCAGTGGTACTCAACTTTGTCTTACATATAACTTCATAATTTTGTTAAAAATCAATTGCAGCACTTTTTTTGAAAAAAATATCTTTAAAATAAAAATACACGTTATCATATTAATAAATTCTTATAATAATTGTTCATTTACTTTTACGTATAATTATGTAAGAATTCTCTTTTATCAAGCATGTAATAAAATTAACGTTTTATTGTAATAAAATTTGTTTATGTGATAATATAAATAAAAGTAATATCATATAAATAAAAGTAAGTATCTTTTTATCTATATTTAATTGTAAAAAAAGTTCAATTTATTTGCAGGCTTCGAAGAAATTTGAGTTTCGTATCTCCTCTTTCATCATTGCGTATGCGCAGTGATTTACTTTGAACCATTAGTAGTTCGAGGATCGTCTCACAGGGATGGGGGATTTATTTCTTTCAAATCTCAAAGCGACATTCGTATATTTTTCACATTGTGGATCGTAGTTTGAAACAAAATTCGATTGTTTTAAATATTGTTCAACATTTCCAACAAATCTTTCATTTTTTTTCTCTCCGGATACCTTCAAATGACGTGTTCTTAATTTCAGATTTTAAATGTACTCTACCGCAGAAGCTAAGTACCGAGGGCACTGTAGATCTTACTGTTTAACGAAACGTAAGTTAGGTAGTAATATTTAACAGTAAGTGAGGATAAAGTCACGTGTGGGATGAGTCATATAATCACTTAATCATTGTTTTTAAGATTATTAATTCGATTAATTAATGAAGCAGCAGTTGAAGAACGCGAGTGCCCTAGACGACGCGAGAGAGAGAAATTTGGGATGAAAAGGGTCCGCTAGCCAGATTCATCAGTGGAGCGGCGGCTCCTGATTCAGACGCTTCGTAAGGTAATTCGGCGAGTTGAATTTCTAACCTAAGATTGCTGTTAACTGTAAATTGCTACTCGAAACTTGCAGTATTGAACAAAGCCCGCTGCTGAGGCAGGCGCCAGACGGAGCTATGGTCGTCGTATCATGGTAACCGGTCGTAGATGTCACACTATTGCACTACAATCTACCAGTGAGTTTCAGTATGACTGACTCGAAAATTTTCGCGCTTCCTTCCGACCAAGAATTAAATACCGAGGAATTGAGCATCAGCTGGCCGTACATTGCTGCCGCTGCTGTTTTCCTTGGAAAAAAATGCGAATGGTATCACAATGTATGCGTGTCTTCTTTCTTCTCCTTTTTTTTACTTGACGTTAATCGTATATAACCTCCGAGATTATATAATTTTAACGAGGCCTATGCAATTTAATGACAATTGGCAACTGCTCCCAATTTTCAAATCATTTGTTATGAATGTATGAGTCACATGAGTAAATTGATCAATTCTCATAATATTTCAATTTTAGGAATTTATGCTATGTAGATATGAATTGAAAGATCCCCGCAAATGTCTGAAGGAAGGCAAAGATGTAACCAAGTGTGCGAAAGAAGGATTTCAGGAGATCAAAAAACACTGTGGAAAGGAATTTGAAGCACATGTAAACTGCGTCGTAGATACATCTGCGACAGGGACTGATGACCGATAGTATGTTGATGATTGAAAGATTTCTTAACTACCAATTGAAAAATTTGTGTGCAACGCCCTAGGATAGATTAAAAAAGAAAGAAACATGTATGTTGACTGTAACAATTTGCCAATTATTAGTTGCAGTAAAACCAGGAAGATGTTTGATGATTGTATGTTGAAAAATTTGAACATGGAACGACCATCATTCGGGTACTTTTGTGAGGCTAGAGTACACGATTCACCAAGACCAAAACCAGAGCCAGAGCCAGATAGATTTACAGATAGATTGCCTGATCCAGCTGCTCCACCATATCCTCCTCCAAAATACCAAGGTGCATCTGGTTTTAACATCTAATTTTGGTTTAGTACTAATTGCAAGTTTTGTAGTCAAACAATACTACAAGCTTGAGAGAACAAATATTGTTATATAATATAATAGCTTTGTATTTGTTCTTTATAAGAATAGAAATAAATGAATATAAAGAAGATATATGTATAAAAAGAAAATGTATGCTTCTTTATAAGGTATGAACTTTCAAACAGTAAGATATACAACAATGAGATGAAACAAAGTGTTGCCAATGTCAATGTTTGCGTATAATCTTTTTATTATTAATGGAACATTTGTTTATCATTACATGATGGAAAAACTAAATGACAAAATTTCTTTATTTTACATTTGTATGTCTATGCTTCACTGAAATCTTTTTAAATAATATTGGAAACAATTCAATGAAGTCACGCACGTTCTATTTCCTGACTTCTCGATTATTACACAAAAATAAATGCTTTACACATTCTGGAAGTAAGCAACAAGAACAAATTTAGCTGAAACGTTGAATTTTTTTTAAATCATATATATACACCTGATATAATATAAACATTATGTACATGATAAGAAGACTTCCAATCATTCGTGCAACACGGACCTACGTGGTAAACAACCATTACATTTTCGGTGAAGTAAGAAATTTCGAAATGAACGAATTAAGGAAGTTTAAGTATAACTGATAAGAGCCAGGAATTCTGGAACCCATTTAAATAAATTATTTCATTTATATTTGAACTAAATAAAATAAAAGAAGAAAGTGGAAGCGAAAAAAACACCGATAAAACCAAATTGCACGAACAATCTAAATCTGTTTTCTTCAGTCATTTTACAATTCAGTATACAATATTTCATAGTCATGATATTCTGAAACGCTACTTTGTCACTCTTGCGTGTCCACGTTCAAAGTAGTTTTCTTGTATATCACGATCTGCATTGCACTTTGTATACAAACGGTGGGTATAAGTTTTGAGGCACTATGCAAATCTCTTATTACATAACAATATTTATCCAAATTTCACTGAGGAATTTTCTACAAGAAAGATTACAAGCAGCCGTTATTCTTGACGAACTCGTTGGCATTTGCAACGAAAGATTTGCAAATTTGTCTTGTAACACTTATAACTAATAAATGTTCATGTCATGTGTCTTCAACGTAGTTAAAATATTCATTCGATTTTAACGAACATCATGGAAGCAATTAGTCGTTTAGGTCTAAGAAAAAAAAAGAATCTGTAGTGTCGTATCTTTTGTTAGCTCCATGTCGTGTCATAACCATTCCAGTTTGCACTGGGCGCTAGATGTACTCGTCTTCCTTTGTAAAAGAATGTGACTACACCACGATAGCCAGTTCTTGGTACACCACTCTGTGTAAAATTACAAACGTCAAATGCAATAACGCGCGAATATTACTACACTCTCTATTTAATCATCTGAGAATTATTACCCTGAAATCATCCATTAATCCAAACTGCTTGGCAGTGTTTTTATACGCCTGTCTGGAATAATAAGGAATCCGTACGGCGCCAGGTGCCACAACTTTCCCACTTTTCAATTCCGAAAAACTCACCACCGTCGATTGATACACTTCATTCACAAAATTTATATCGTAATTGTCCTGAAACATTTGTTTTCAGTAAAGATCAGTTTTAATCTCGTATACCTCGCGTAACTTTAGAACTGGCATTGAACGTTATTAAAATTCGTACTTTCCTTACTTTTAATAAATAAGTTAAATTCATTCTCGTGAAATGCACAAATTCAGTGTTCAATTTGATATATTTTAAATGTCTTTCGTAGAACATCCCACTGTAAATAATATATTGATTAAATTTAAGTCAACTTAATTTAAGTAATTTGTTTTTTTTTAATTTAGGTGCGTACTTGCTCACTCCTGTTTTGCCGAAAGTTCTGGTTCTAGATATTTCCGGCCTAATGCAGGCTCTATTTCGACGTTGTTCAGGTTGTCTTATCCAATCGTCCCAATATCTGTAAAACAGATCGATCAATTTCTGTGTTTGCACTCAACGGATCATTGCAATAAAATTTCCACTCACGATTTTGGCCATTTCGGCGAGAGTTCAGCCCATAATTGACGCGTTAACATCCAGCCTAATCCAGGAAAAAAATCCGTCCGGTACAGCACATCCGCTGCGTTTTCGTCAACTAATCCAGCTTTACCATTGTCATTCCATGCAGACACGCACCACAGGGAATTATCAGATACTAGTAGAGGATATGTGCCCAAAAAATACTCAAAAAAATCTGGGGCTATGTCCAAATCATCTAGACAGGGGAATTGATTTTTAACAAACTAAAGTTCCACATTATTAAGATATAAGTAACAGATAAAACAAACTACCTTCGACTATTATCACAGTGTCATATTTAAGTTGAAAGAATACGTGATTAAGAGCCCATCCATAGTGACGAGCGATTTTGAAATACCCTTTGAATTTCTTTTCTTTCGGAGGTACTTCGATGTCCGATTGATCAGGTTGCTGAAAAAAAGAATATTTTATAATATTGTGATCTTAAAGTTGTCAGACAAAGTCAGCAAATTAGACGAGAAAGTTAATATAGCACACTACTTGTATATGCATAATTTGATTTCCATATCTAGCGATAACATCAGCAGTTTGTCGATGCTGGCAATCTTCTGAAACGATAATTGGAAATTGCTCTATGCTGGGCCTGTATTTGATCAGTTGATCGAGGCACCTCTGTACAGTAATGCGATTGCAAGAAAACACCAAAACTGCTATTATTGGAGATCCGTTTGGTAACTTTTCCTTTATAGGAACATTGTAAGAAGTTTCGCTCTGCTAAGAATAAAAGCACGTGTAACTGTTTTTTTTGGATTAAACTGCAAATGAATAGTGCAATATTTACCGAATACACAGGCTCTATTTGTAACTGCTGTACATCATTATTATTAATATTATTATCTACATCCTTTTTTTCCTTTTCAAGGAAAAGCTTGTCCTCGTCGATACGATTCGTATCTCTCCCTTGTTTCTCATCTGTATTCGTATTTACAATTATCTTTCCTGTTTCGAACGGAAGGTAATAAAAACATGAAAAAACAATTGAAAGAGTTAGTATACATTGATACATTAGTATCGACATACTTTTACGTTGCTTAACTTCATTGATACTGTCAAAGAGTTCCTGATTCAATGCTATTTCTTGCTTTATCCTTCTTTCCAGTTTGCTAATCTGATTTGATAGTCTAGTCTAAAAATGAAATCTGTCGATTAATTGTTAGTCCCAACGATTGATTGACTAACTTACCGTTTCCCGTTCCTTATCCACTGGTTGATCGGAGATCAAGAAATATATGATCAAGCCCCACAGAACAAGAGAGCCGAAAATAACAGTGACTGACCTGTTCCGCATGGCAGGACCAGGTGTCACCTCATCTAGAATACAAAATGTACACATGGAATTATCATTATCAGAGTGAATTATCATTATGAATTACCATTATCAAATAGAGTGAATTGTTATTGAATAAAGCAAATGCTTGTGGAGACATTGTTATGCAAGAACATTATCTCCACAACGTTACCGATAACGATCAACAAGCAAGCTTTTTCTCGCAGGTCAATTAAACGTACGTCAAGCTACTTACCATCATGAAACCCACGTAACCGCTTATCGAGTGTCGTTATACAAGAAAGAGCATCTTTCTATGGATGAAAAACGAACGTCCCGCAATCCTTATTGTCTGGCGATCGACGACTTCTCGAGAGTAAATAAACAGGTGTCCGTCAGGTTCGTTGCTTCCCAGACGGGGTTCTAAACGATATCCGCGAGTTTGACGTGCTGACACTGCGTCGTAAGCTCCATCGTTAAGTTACGCGGCAGACGCGGAGGAAATTTGCCCGGGAGGAGAAAACTGTCCGCTCTCCCTTGGGAAAATCATCGGGGGGGATCTACATTTCGACCATGTGATGGAGCCACGTATATGTCTGTGTGGCGCCCCCCCTCCAGATAACCTATCAAATTTACGATTACGCGCGTGCACGCGTGATCATTTACTATGTAATAGCAACAGCAAAACAATCTTGATCTTCGTTTCGAACGTCTTTCTCGTTTTTCACGTGTTCGAATGAGAATCGTATAACCTATAAATCACATAATCTGTAAATTACGTTTAATTTTGTTTAATTTAGTTTGGCATTTGTTTAATGTTGAAAATGTACGAGAGGCGCGAAAAGAAAGAAATTACGTTCGCACAGAAGAATGACGGTTAATGTACCGGCTGTCGATTCAATTGAAGAAGCTATAAAAATTACATAACCTACAAAAAACTTAATTCGAGTTGATATCTTTATATTTGAGTAGAGAGATATTCGCTGCTAGCGGATAAAAAATTCGCATGTAAGTTTTGTTGTTTTAATTAAAATTCAGATTTGTTGGTAAAAGTTTGACGTGCGTATGCGCGAGTTACTCTTTTAGCCTTTTCGCGCCAAATTCGATCGAGAGGAAGAGGAAAATGTCCGACAGGGAGGAAGAGTTTCGAGTTTACAGAGAAGACGTACGAATTCCCTGCAGATATGGGATCAAGTGTTATCAGAAAAATGCGGTCCACCACGAGAAGTACAAGCATCCTCCCATGAAAGAAACGGTACGAATTTTCCTACTATTCTGTTAGTCTAAATTTATTTTTCAAAATTTTTTCCAAAATCTTTTTATGAAACGATGCCCTTTCTCTCAATGATATTGTACAGAGAAACGGAAAAGCCCCGAGGCGTAAAACCATGAATCAGAAAAGGAAGAAGGAAGACGATAGTCGGGTATCGAATGACTCTCCGCAAAAGAAAATACAGAAGACAAATGACGAAATTACTAATTCGCATTGTAACTTGCACATTGCAACATGCATCGAAAGCGGTACTTTGGAAAACGACGACACAGCTTGCGAAATTACTGAAAATTCGGAGAATTCACATGACGCAAAATCTGCAGAAAATTTAGGAGATTTAGTCACCATTGCATCATTGTTACAAGTCGGTGGTATTAATGTGAAAAATGGGAAAATACTTACAGCAACTGCTAGAGAAGTCATTCCTTATTTGTTCCTCCTTGAAATGCCAGACGATTTCTTTCATCTTTATGAATTCTGCGAGAACATTTGTGAGAGAGATCCTCTCAACGCATTGAAAGATCTTAATTTGCAACTAATAGGTCCCTACGATGTGTTCAGAGAGGAATTTATAAATGGCAAGGTTGAGAATAAAGAAGCAATATTGAGGCATTGGAGGTATTACTATGATCCACCAGAATTTCAAGTAAGGAAATTATAATTTATATTATAATTTTAATTTATTTACATGTTATAACCGTATGACATTATTCATTAATTGCCAAGTCCTTTTCAACAGACAATTATCAGAGAAAACGGCAAAGATGGTTTGCATTTTGGTTATTGGAGAGACAATGCCTCTGAGAAGCCCGTGTTCGTAGCGAAGAACAAAGCAGCCGTGAATTGTATAATCGAGCCTGTCGCGGAAAATATATTCGGTACGCTCGAGTAAGTAGCGAGAGCGCTAATAAATTTCTATTAGAATACACTTGTAACGTTCGCTTTGTACTTTGTAGCGTATATTTTGAGGAGAGGTTGAAGTTGGTCACTCCGTTTGAGAAGATTCGCGTAGCACAGCTGCACCAAAAGTTGAAAAGCTTCGCGAGCAGTAAGAAAATTACCATTGAAAAACGGACGGCGAGTATGCAAGCTAGGGAGAAGCAAATTGTGACAAGAACGTTTCACAGAGTTGGCATCGTGGTGCCTTATAACAAGAAAACTCAATTGGGATACAGAGACTTGGCTGTCACTGATAGTGAGTTGTTCCCATCGAACAACCGACCAAATAAATTTACAATGATTCACAGAATAATTTGTCAATTGCATTTCAGGCGAACTACAGAGATTGCTGAAACAAATAGAAAACGCTCCGACGGAAGTAAAGAAGACGTTGACGTCGAAACTAGAGGAAGTGATACGATTGGCAACGATCGCGGCCGACGAGTGCGATTTTGGCACGGTTCTTGAGTTAGGCCATGATCTGTTTTCCAGCGGTGTCTCTTTCGTCGAAAGCAAAGCGCTAAACCTATTGTCACTTGCCTACAACCTTCTGCAAAGACCGCAATTTTTTGAAATTCTCAAATCCCATTTAAAAGACAGAAGGAAGAGCTTGGATTTGAGTGTTGTGCGATTTGGTTAACAGCTAGAAATCCTAATAACAAAACAAAATACTACTGTTAAACAATCAACTTGAAGTTGAATTAAAAAATTAACACGATTACGGGGGGAGAGTTGTGTTGGAAGTAAATCAAAAAATACAAATTGTAATTTCATTTTTATATCGAAACACTTATTGCTTAATCAATAAATATTTATTATTTTTTTTTCTGTTTATTTTCTCGTAGCTCTGATTTAATCCGCGAACAATGCCTTGTCCCAATAAAGGTTGGCCAGATAACGAACGTTCCACGTTACACGATGCGAAGTCACACATGTTAATAAGAAAGTTACGGGGCTATAGCGATGAACGAATGCGACCGACGAAGAGGCAATCGTAAGAGAAAGAGAGCTGTTCAGGATGGTTGAAACGGGGGTTCGTGTCACGACTCTGTCCCGGGTGGAAAAAGTGAATCTCTCCGCGTAGACGCGACAATGCTCCGCATCCAGTTCGCGATGATAATTCACGATCAGACGAAAATGGAACTAAGAGGAAACTAATAGCTACAAAAAAAATAAAAAAAAAACAGGAAAAGTAGAAATCGTGTACTGAAGAAATATTTAATTTCTATGGTTTTAGTTCTCATCAGTCAGCGGCAATCGTACAAGCGTTTGCGATGGAAAGTAAAAGCTGCAATAATTTCATAAGTTATGTTGAGCTAGAGGAACACGAGATGCAGGTAACTGTCGGGCACATTTTTATGTAAACATTCGAACATAACCTCAATCTTGCTGGAAATATTGAGAATGCACAGCACAAATGCATGTCTCATTCGCGACGAGCGAAAATAACAAGAAAGAATGTGCGAGATTTTTGTTGTAAACGCTTTATTGCATGAAACATATGCATAGAAATAAATTCGATTATGTTAGAGAATGCGAAAGATGATAGTCATATCTATTGAATAAATTTAATATTTTAGAATTTAGAATTTGGTATTTTGTATATATTTCTCAGTTATGTACAAGTACAAGACAGTACGTGTTACAGATAAAATTCAGTACATTTAGTTTAACTTATATGTAACTACTTCTGCTTAAGTTAGTGTCAAGTTTAATGATAGTTCAACAAATTATGTGCAGCCATTAGGTTCTAGTCGACGTAATTCTTTGTCCGAGAACAATATTAAGCTGCTACCAGGTGAAAGCTTTGTCACCAAAGCACAAAACGTCCTCATGTTTTCACCTGTTAGTGATTTGAATCAAGGAACATCTGGTATTTTATCCGTTACAAATTTCAAACTCACTTTTGTCACTACTGACGAAACAAATGGAGATGTAAGTCGATTTTTTAGAAGCTTGCCAAGTCCAAGTGTATTGAAGCAATTGTAGTTTCTTGTTATTGTTACTGAAAGGATTAACCAGAATGCGTTACTTGCAGGATGTGACTCGTCAACAAAATCATCTTTATGGATACATGGACACGTGTTTAACAAACATAGAAGATATTTATGTAACTGTAGGAGATAAGAAAAGAAAATTGTTACCTGGAAATATAGTACCCTCTAAAGTAAAAGGGATATTTATTATTTGTAAAGTAATTGTCTATCCGTACAATAATTGTTGCGAATGACGTACTTCCTTTTACGTTTCTTTCGTTTAATCGAGATGTGGATTTTAGAATTTACGAACGTGGTCGTTCTCTTTCAAATTTTCACCCATCGGCGATGGGAAAAATCTGTTGCAAGCATTGTTACATTATGCTTTCCCCAGCAAGCACGACCTGTTATTTGGTTACGATTATCAGTTAGTATTTCAGACAAGTGTCTTTTGAACTACAGCCGAAAGTCGCAGGATTATTCATCTCCTCTTTTTGTTTGATTTCAGAGAGGCTTACTATAGTAGTCTTGATAAAGCTGTTCGTTTGTTTCGGGACATCTCTGACTGGCATAACGAGTTAGAACGCACTATACGCAATGAGAAATTCAGAAAATGTTGGAGACTGTCTACTGTTAACGTAGATTTCAAACTGTGTCGTAGGTAAATGCAACTGATAAAAAAAAAAAATTTTAAAAAAGCATTGAATTAACTGCTCAGTACTCGGATGTAGCCGCATGTCGCAATCGATTCATAATAACATTAACATTTCTTGTAGTCTGTCTCGATATATAATTATACCGGCTTCCATTACCGATAGTCAGCTAATAGACGCAGCTAAGCGCTTTCAAGGCAACCGTCCGCCAATTTGGTCTTGGTCGAACGCGCGTGGCGCAGCGTTAGTGAAAATGCCCGAACTTTCGCCGTTGGTCACCAACAGGATACAAGAGAACATTATGTTCGAGAACGTTCGTAAAAGTCATCCGCAGAAAATGCCGCCGGTTGTTCTAGAACTGAATAAAGGCATCAGCGTGAAGCTAATAGCAATAGCGTTTTCGAAGTTTGCCAGTCTATGCTCGCCAGGTAATTTGCAATTTATTCCTCGTACACGTAGTCGTACTCAGCAATTGTTGCAAGTATTCACTCGTTGTTTATTTCAGAGAATATCAGGCAGTTCTGGCTGCAGGATAATAATTTTTACTCGTTGGTAGAAAACACAAAGTGGTTGAAGTACGTGTCGTACTGTTTGCAAAAAGCTGTCGAAGCTTGCGAGCATCTTCACTTAGGATTGTCTGTTATTTTGCAAGGTAACGACGCAACAATCAATCAGTCATTCGTCCGTCGTCCTTCAACGAATTTGGTTTTTTTAGAAGGTGCTGGCACTGATCTTTGTTGCATCGTATCGAGCTTAGTTCAATTGTTACTCGATCCCTATTTTCGAACCATAAACGGGTTCCAGTCGCTGTTGCAAAAGGAATGGGTCGCCAGTGGTCATCCATTCTGCGATAGATTAGGTCACATTTGCAAGAGGACCTCGGAGAAGGTACATTAATTCGATTTGCATTACCTGTAATATTAATATTAATATTACTTCTAATAATATTTAATTATTCATAATATTAAAATTAATATTAATGTTAGCTTTTTAACATTATCTTTTCTTTTAATAGTCTCCGTTACTACTCTTATACCTCGATTGTGTCTGGCAATTGAGTCAACAATTCCCCGCAGAATTCGAATTCACGGAAACGTACCTGACAACGCTGTGGGACGCCGCCCACGTTTCCATTTTCGACACGTTTATTTTCAATTGCGAGAAAGACCGAGTTGCGGCAGCTACGGTAATTCACTTGCGAATTTTTTTAACTTTCCATTTAACAAGAGAAGATGACAAGAGGTCCAGAAAAGACGACAAACCTCGTAATTTACTAATGACTCTCGAATTTGTCCTGGCTCAACTCGTTGAACAGGATATAGATTAATTAATTTTCACATACATTTGAAACTTACAAAACACATATTCTAAAAAATGAATGTTCCTCAGGACCCGGACAGACCTCTTGTTCTACGGAGCGTGTGGGATTGGAGGGAGCAGTTCAACGAGCAGGATATTCTGTTGTTCGACAATCCCTTGTACAATCCCCACGAAGCCGATTCCAAGGAGAAACACGTGATAAAACCATTGTACAACGTCGCGAATTTGGAGCTTTGGAGTCAGTGTTATTTTCGGTGGATACCGACACTGGAGATTCACAACGGTGGGCAAAATCACATCGAGCTTTACGCCAGGTTGCTGCGTAACGACGTAAATCAACTGAAGATGAGCATAAACGGTAATTGCGGCTCGCCTATCGATAAATCGAACAGCTGTTCCGTTCAGATGAACATCGACAGCTTTTATCCGTTCTCGAATAGAAAGTCTGGGAACATAGTGAGCACACCGATCATGAACAGCTCCATTCTTGCGACGAAAAGCTTGTTAGAGGCGCAGTCTTTAATCACTGCAACCGACTGATGTACATATCCCGCTGACGTTTGTTCTTTCGATTTGTTGAAGAAAGCGGGTAATATCTGTTACCTGATCCTTTCAGTGCCAAATTTTCGTACCGTTTGCCAGCAAATTGTGACCCAAGATTCTGTCTAATTTATATCACAGTAAGTCTCATTTGTGTAGCTACGTTATAATTGTGATTTGAATTTACTTGGAAAAAGTGACGCGCGAATTTAGTTTTTTTATCTTGGTCTAATTTGGCACTTGAAGGATTAAACGTTGAGAAAACGCATTTTAAACATTATACGAATTTCTCTTTTCCATATTGTACGTTGTATTGTAAAATAACGAGAATTGATATTTAACAATACGCTGATGTTATATAAATTAAATAACAATGGAACTATTTTTTGTAGAAAAGAAATTGTCCATGGTCTAGTAAATTCTTTTTGTCCCTATTTAATCCCCACGTGAGAAGTTAAACCTACTATAGAGGGCGAGGTGTATGTCAACAATAAGTGTGGGAAAAATGCCACGTGAAGTACCTCTCGACGATGAACGTCACGAATGATAAAAATATTTCTGCGTTAAAAAAGGCAAAAGATGTTAAGTCCACGTTGGAAGAATGGGACGCGAACAAAATTGTTTTTCGCGTATTGCTGTTCGTCTCATGCTTCAAAGTACTTTTAATTCCTACGTAGTATGTCTTCTTTAATGTTTAAAGATATTGTATGCTCCTTTTCATTATTATTATTATTATATTGTAACCAGGCACATATCATTTGATTCTTAGTCGTTCCACGGATTTTGAAGTACACCGCAATTGGCTTGCTATAACGTACAGTTTGCCACTGAAAGAATGGTACGTGAATGCCAAGTCACAGTGGACCTTGGATTACCCACCATTCTTTGCATGGTTTGAATACTTTCTCAGTCAGATTGCAAGATTCGTAGATGATGACATGTTAAAAGTGGAAAATCTAAATTACGCGTCTTTTAATACTGTCCTTTTCCAAAGAGGCACTGTTATATTTTTGGATTTGGTATATGCTTACGGAGTTAAAGAGTAAACTTCTAATTCATTGATATCTCTCATCAAAAAGTGTATTTAGAGTACATTTTGTATTTTGAATTCCAGAATTGGCAAAGTATTTTGCTCTTCGTTTGATGAATATCTTATCTTCATAGTTTTTTCTCTGTGCAACATTGGATTGCTACTGGTGGATCACATACATTTTCAATATAACGGATTTCTACTTGGCATTTTTTTGCTTGCTGTTGCTAACGTTTCTAAAATAAATAAACAGGTATGTAAGGAATTACATATCTAGCTTGTACATAGAGATTAAACAGAAATTTATCTTCAGGTGGCTATCTTGTCTGGAACACTATTATTTGCCATACTGCTGAATTTAAAACACATTTATTTATATGTAGCACCAGTGTTTGTAGTCTGGTTACTCAGATCGTACTGCATAAATGAAGGTTCATTCTTCAGACGTTTATTTGCTCTTGGAAGTATAGTTATTATCACCTTAACAATTTCATTTGGCCCATTTGTCTCGCAGTTGCCTCAGGTATGCAATGTGAAATGAATCCAATTTTTGTTTCTTAATCATGAATTAATTGTCTCAGGTAATATCAAGGCTGTTTCCATTTAAAAGGGGTTTGGTGCACGCGTACTGGGCAGCAAACGCTTGGGCATTGTACATAGGTGCAGATAAAGCGACATGTTTAATTTTGAAACAGTTAGGATGGTTGAAAAGTACGAGAACAGCAGTCATGACTGGTGGATTAGTACAAGAACAAACGTTTTTGGTTTTGCCAAGTCCTACTCCAGCTGTGACGTTTTTATTAACTATTTGCACTATGCTGGTGAGTAAAAAGTTTTTCAATTGATATTGATAATATCATTAATGACAAAAATATTTGCATAAATTACAGCCTGCACTGTATTGTTTACTATGTAAGAAGGAGTACACGAATCCAAAGCAATTTGTACGGTGCTTAGTCCTCTGTGCTTTGTGCTCGTTCATTTTTGGTTGGCACGTACATGAGAAGGCCATTTTAACTGCTATTATACCACTGTGGTAAGTGCAGAACTAACAAGACGAAGTTAATTTCATTTAAAAAATTGAACGACTTATTTTAGTGTGTTAGCAGCGACCAACAAGGACGATGCCAGAATCTACGTAATTTTAAGCGGCGCAGGTCACGCCGCTCTTCTGCCTCTACTCTATACGGACAATTTAACTCCATTGAAAATCTTGTTAATTTCTATACACACAACTGCATCCTTTTTAACTTTCTTTCGAAAGTTCGACGCTAGTCTATTGTACTCCTACGAGTACTTGTACGTAATTAATCTGCCAGTGTTAACAGTATACGAGACCATTGTACATAAGTTGATATTTCATGAGAAACTGCCATTTCTGCCTTTGGCCCTTACTTCAATATACTGTGCTGTAGGGATAACCTATTCTTGGGTTGTCTATTATTATATGTTTCTACGATGCAGCGACGCTGATGATATTAAAAAAAAAAGACAATAAAATCTTTACACATTGCGCAACATTTTGTGAAGTTTATATTTATTGCATTTCTTTTGTTTCGTCATATGTAACATCACTCTAACCTCAACTGCCGATTGAGGTTAGAATAAGAATTGCAAATTGGATCTAGTAAATTGAGATTTAGATTTCTTCGTCCTGTTCGAATTTAGCAATTTCAATACATCTTCATTTCCAGCTACAGCAAATTCTCAAGACAGATTGTTTCTATTATGTTCTCTGAATTTTGACTATATACCGACGATTACGAATCTACATGTACGTGCAAACTTCTAACACTCCTCCATTGCTCTCAAGAGTGATGAACATGGCGGCTTGGATTTTCTGGGCGACAAGTGAGTCCGTTGATTTTGCGCGTTTATTATGTCATCTCGATGGCATTTTCAACAGTGATGATGCATCAGCTGTTTCGGCACAATCGATTTAAAATTCACGTGCGTTGTAGATGCATTATCGTCTGCTGTGTTACACTTATGTAACAATACATATCATATTTACATATGTAATAATGCTGTATTATATTTACATTGTATTATATTTATGTGCTATATTATATTTACGTAATTGTGTAATAATCCTGTATTGTATTCACACTGCAATAATGATTTAACATGTGATACACAGGGAATCAGAATGTGGGCTTCATCAGTTCTGCGATACGGAGCTGTGCTTACTCCACAGAGCCAAGGATCATTAACAATCCTACAACAGCCAGTTTGAAAAGGGGTACTGGTGGCCGCAGCTCTTTCAATGGCATAGTTTGCACAATATTTGGATGCAGCGGTTTCGTTGGAAGGAATTTGCCTATTAGATTGGGAAAGATTGGAACACAGGCAAGCGAATATAAAATTATTGACTTTGAAGTTTCAAGGTTGTTCAGACCAACGATACTTATGTGATGTATTCCCTTGAAGCTTATTCTAGCACACAGATGCGATCCGTACCACATAAGGGAATTGAAAGTGGGTGGTGATCTTGGGCAAGTTTACTATGTTCCGTTCGACCTTAGGGATGAGGAGTCGATAGTCAGAGCCATGAAATACTCCAATGTCGTTGTTAATCTGATTGGTACAGACTATGAGACGTCAAACTTCAGATTTAATGACGTGAACATAGAAGGAGCGAGGACACTGGCCAGGCTCGCCAAAGAATGCAACGTGGAACGTTTTGTTCACATGTCGTGCTTGAATGCAGCAGCGAAACCAACAGTAGGTTAATTGAATTGATTTGCGTAATTGTGAATAACGAAGATGTAGTAAAACTACAAATTTAAGATCTGAATATGATAATGTTCAAATTTAAACTCCAAGCTTTCTTCTCAATATCATCAATTTATTTCGCAGAATGTTTGTTCTGATTCTGACTTTCGTTTTTTTCATTTTTATCAATCACGTTTAAAATAATGATTTCTAATAATAGATATTATTCTCTTTTCCAAGCCAATGATAATACCAAAAGGCTCGAAGTTTTTGAAATCAAAATGGTTCGGAGAACTTGCGGTAAAAGAAGAATTCCCAGAAGCTACCATAGTCCGGCCATCAGTTATTTATGGATGCATGGATCATTTTATCAGTCATTATATGAGCAGACAGAGGGCAACCTTTGAATAGTAAATTTATTCTAATTGTTTGTATGACATGTAATAATAGGTATTATGTCATAATAATGCGAAATTCATTCATTACAATAGCATACCACTGTGGCATAAAGGCGAGAAAAGTGAGAAGCAACCGGTATATATTCACGATGTGATTTCGGGCCTTGTAGAGATAATAAGAAATCCTGACACTGCCGGAAAGACTTATCAATTTGTTGGGTATGTACCGTCTGTAGTACAAACAATGAATTTTTCGTTTTATTTCATACAAAGATGTAAAATTTTATCTGTTTCAGGCCAGAAAGATACACGTTGGCTAAGTTAGTTACGTGGATGTACGAGTTGAAACTGCAGAACACTGAAGACCCTTACAAGATAAACGACATGAAATATAATCCGTACTTTTGGTTCAAAACTGCGATGTATGAATTAATGTATTCAGTACATCCTATGGTAAATATATCGTGGGAAGTAATGGAATTGGTAAGTACTAAAAGTTTGGAATTGATGTAAGTTATTGTCGATTTTACAACTGACAAAACATGTTAAATTTCGTTTAGCACCATACCACTGATACAATAGACCCAAATTTGCCAACTTTGGAAGATTTAGGAGTAACGCCGACTAATATGAAAACGCGTCTAGCATGGGAAATCGAGACGTATCGTGATGTATATATAGATGATTTAGAAAAAGCTACTCCCCCTAACGTGAAGTCCGTACCAGACTGAAATGTTCTAAGTACAGAGTAATTTATAATTTAGAAGAAAATCATCAAATGTTTCGATTTAAATAAATCTGATATAAAGTAAATTGTCTGTATTGTATTTAGATTCAATATTATTATCTTCGCTCTGTGACAATTGTGACCTATGTTTTTATATGTCCTATACAATAATGGTTGTTATTCATCTTTTTTTTTTTTCTTATCATTTATTAAATGACAGATCATTCTAGCTACAATAAATGTTACAGAGCTTGTTATTTTTCGTTATACGTTATATGGTAGATGTTGGTAAAAAATATAAGCTAGTTTGGTCCTCGGTTACTATGCTGACCGAAGGCCACGCAGACTTTACATTACAAATGACCAGAGAAAAAACATTTCTCTTTTTCCTTTTCCTTTAGTAGTTAAAAAGCACGATTTTGAATTTTTAGTTTGGAACTTATACAGTGAGATGCTTGTAAATAAGTGATAAGATAATGAAACGCTTGTAAACAATGAAAGAGAATTCTAGTTGTTACACGAATAAAATAAAAAAATCTGAAGAAAATCTATTCTTTTCGCGAACTTCCCATCGCTGGTTTCAAGTGTACACTAACAAAATTCAGCCTTTTATTAGAACGGCTTGTTTATCCAAGGAAGACAACGCACATGTAAAATTCAAATGGTCGATTAACTCTCAGAGAATTGAGATACATGTGTTTTTTACCAATTTCTCCGACTCAACGGTAGTGAAAGTGGTGCCCAAAGAAATATCGATAAGTTCGTAACATTTTGAAAATTCTACTGAGAGTTAAACTTCTTCTAAGGACAAAGCTGTTTCCCTCGAATCACGAAAATTTTACTCTCACGCCAAAAAGGGTTCTTACAAGATAAGTTCACCTTATTATATTCTTATTTCCTATACTTTCATTATCGTCGACGTAAATTACCTATTCATCTCTGGTCGTTAACTCTTTGCTTTATACGCTCAAAAATCATTGCACATTAAGTACATATTATCCATATTAAAGCGTATCAATCAAATTTCTTGTATCAATAATTAACATATTCTGGGACGCGTATCAATCTCAAGGAACTCGAGAAACCTCAGAAAAATAAACTTTCCACGAAATATTATGTAAATAAACAATGGTAAAAAAAAAAAACTATATAACGAGAATTAAGATTAAATTTCGAGGAGTTCCTCGAAAACCTCCTTTTCTTTCAGTAACATTTCGATCACGAATGGGTTAACGGGAGTTTGTATAAAACAAAGAGTTAACACGATATGATATGATAAATGTGAACGAGTCACTTATTCGAGAAATCACCTCTAATTTACGGAATAAATCCAGAATGGATGCGGTTTCGCCAGCCCAGTTATATGGGCCGGTTAAAGCTCATAGTCGCATGCTTAAGATTGCACAAGTTATAATAATCGAACGAGTTGGGGGGGGGGGGGAGAAGTTTCTCTTAACTCACGGAGTGGAGTTGCAACAATGGTCAAGCCTCTAATCGGTGCGGTCGTTATCTCGGTGTTTTACGAACACGTTGAAATATAATGGCGAAAGTTAACGTTTGAATTCGCTGGCTATCTGTATTACAATGGAACGACCTATTATATATACATAAACACACAAGTGTATAACGATTCGAGTGAGAAAAAAGTCGCAGGAAAAGAACTTGGTATACTTCCAAAAATTCTCGTCTAACCATTGAAGGAGAAATGTCGTTAGTTTATCAGTAGCAGTACTACTATCACATATCAAATATATCAGCAGTATGTTATTGATAAATAATTTTCGGATGATGACTATGCATCTTCACCGTTTTCACGACTATCTATCAGGGACGTTAAATTAGATTTAATGATGATATGTCGTGACATTGAACTCCTCTCTGTTGAAATAGAAAAGGCTTCGCCAAGTACAGAAATCGTACAAACGTAGGAAATGAATCAGAACTCTCTCAAAACAGACCAGTGGATTCACTGGAAGAGATTCATGGAGAACAGAAGAACGATGAACAGAGTGGTTGGCAGAGTGATGATCCCAATGACGCCGGAGCCCAGGTTGTCTTGCACGACGTTGTCGTGGCATCTGGCGACCAGTCCGAAGTCCACGAGATTCATTGGCTTCCCGTTGTACTCGATCGGCGAGATGCAGTAGTTCCTCTTTTGGAACTCGCTCACAGTACCGTTGACAAAGTCGCTCTCGAGCACGTTGTGAGCCTGGCAGTCGCACGGGAAGTGGTTGTCGACGGCGCTGATGGAGTTCACCTCGAGGCTGATGTCCTTCACGTGGCGTGGCGCCTCCAGCACGTGGTTCCCGTGGAATCTCAACGTGTCAATGTTGCTCTCGTACTGTAGAAACAATTTCTCGATCAGGTCGATCTTGTTGTTCACGATGTTCAGCCGATCGACGTGAGTGAGCCCGGTGAACGCGTTCTTCTCGACGATGCCCAGGTCGCTGTCCTGGATGTTCAACGACTGCACGTAGGACAGGCCGCGGAACGTGTACGACTGAAGGGAAGACAGGTCCATGTAGGTCAGCTTCAGAAGCCAAACGTGTTGAAGGCCGTCGAACGCGTCCGGCTCGATGGTTCTTATCCCCGATGGGAATATCAGGCGAACAACGTTCGTCAAACCAGAGAACGCGTGGCTTTGGATTCTGAGCAGTGGGTTGTTGCTCAGCAGGATCAAACGAATGTTGGAGGTCCCGGCGAACGAGTAGCCCTCGATGTAACGTATCTTGTTGTTCGCCAGCAGCAGCACCGAGACGTTTTGCAGGGCCGCGAACGAGAACTTCTCGATGAACGGCAGAGGTGTGTGCTGTATGGAAAGCTCGCGTAACTTGCTCAGGCCGCGGAACGCGAACGGTCGTATGGTCGAGATGTTGTTACCATCCATCGTCAGCTTTCGTAGCACTCTCAGGCCGGCGAATGCGTCGCCTTTTATTATCGGGAAGTTGTTCTTTGTCAGGGAGAGCTCCTCCACTGTTTGCGGCAGCTGCTGGGTGGGAATGTCTTTTAACCCGCCTGTATTGCAGAGGACCTGTGGAAATTGATCGATTCGTTATTTATAAAAGAAGAAAAGAAAAATAGTTTCTTCTTTTTTTTTTTTTTTTTTTTTTTTTAAGAAGAATAGAAAGAAAGATTGTTTTGGTTCGCAATGTCTTCTTAAGTATCTAGTGTGACACTTTGCTTGATCTCTAGGAGGCTAGAGTCTTCAATTAGCTTTGCTTGCCAATTCTCCAGATATCCACACATAGCATGACATTCTACGTGACGCAAGCCTAATCCTAAATCCCCCCCCCCCCCAAATCTAGTCCTTGTTAATCCCTGTTAATTGCTAATTGATCTCTAATTAAACGTTGATTTCCTCGCTCTGGTAATACCATCCACCAAATGCTTCAGGGACGGAAAAAAGGTTTCCAATGAAATGATTCTTCGTTTTCTCCGTTCTTCAAGCGCTCCGTGATTACCTGCTTGGGAGATAGGCAGATGCATTCTGCGGGGCAGTCCAAATTTTTCGCGGTACTGGTTTCCTGTTCCAAGGTAAGCTTCGGGCTCAGCGTCGCTGTCCACAACAGGTAATAAATGCAGATCTACGAAAAGCAAATGGAAGAGAAATGAAAATAGAGAAACAACATGAGGGGGCTGACGCGAGATATAGAGCGTGGAAGAAATGGAGCGCGAGAGAGAGAGAGAGAGAAATTCTTCCAGGCATGCGAGTCGTCCACGTATCTCGGATACGGATGGGAAGAGCGTGGATGCGATGCACACACTCATACACACATACACGCGCGCGCGAAACTCGTCTCATTTGTACCTGCGCTCTGCAATACATCAATCCCGGAGTTTTTAGGGCGCATGCCTCAGCATCCAGGAAAACGTCGCGAGCAGCTGCCGATGTTCCAACGTATCCTGCAAAAAAGAAGAAAAAAACGCCAAGTCCCAGAGAAAAGGTATACCGAACGCGCACACACCTCGGTATTATGATTCGTCACTCGTTTATCATATTTCTGGCGTGATATTCCGCGTGGACGAACGAGAGGCACGAGATGGAGAGGCTTACCGCGAACAGGAAGGACAGAGAGAGGCAGGTCGGCTCGGGTGTAGATCCTACGATTAACCGCGAGGACGAAACGGACCGGGGAAATTTCGCAATCCGTGGCCGCATTCACCGCCTGGGCTCGAGGCTTTATTTCTCCTTAGCCACCTACCCCCACCCCCCCCGGGTGAACGATCTGCGCAAGCCCATAATTATTCTCTCCGTGCGCGTAGCCTGAAATGAGTCTTATTAAAGGTATAGAGCACACTGTGAAGCGCGGGATGACCGGAACCAAGCGTACTGACCCAGGATAATCCGGCACAGCCTGTGGCTTTTGATTGCTTCAGCCACTAGCCAACGACGCCGGTGTAATCATGCACTTCCGCTTCCTGTCCAGCCCCATCCCATCTTCTCGCGTCTTCTACTTACCTTGGCTATTTTTGTCCATTAATCTTTTTCTTTCTTTTTTTTTTTCTTCTTTTCTTTTTTGGTTTTTCTTTCTTGGTTGATTTTGCATCCTTTTTACGAAAGATTCCACACCTTTTCTCGAGTCTCCCACTTTCGTGATTCTACTTGTCTCTCCCTGTCTCTCCCTGTCTCTCCCCTCGGCCGCCTCGTCTCTCCCTGATTTTTCTCGTCTATTTCCGAGTCTTCCTGTACTTTTTTTATTTGTTCTCGGCTTGTTCTAGTGTCGCGAAGCTTTGCGAGTCTTTCTGGCCTGGGGAGTCTCTTTACTTCTACCTGATCCTTTCAGCAGCGCCTGCAGTAGTATAAACTAATAAATTAGAATCAATTATAACTAATTATATATTATTATATATATCAATATTGTATATTGATTACCGTGAGAGTGAAAAACAAGATATGAAGGAAAATAAATATCAATTATTTTTTCCATTCCTTTTCTGGATTCTTCTCTTTTTATCTCTTCTTTAAGCATGCACCGTGCGGATCACCCCTAGGATAGGTGCTGGAACAAATTTATATTGTTGTTCTTGTCGCACACTATCACTCTCCTTGTCTACAGCGCGAATATGTCTGTCCTTGTTAAACGGTATTACCCTCCTTGTCTAAAGCACGTATATGTCTGTCCTTGTCGCACACAGTTGCTCTCCTTGTCTACCGCATGCATGTGTCTGTCCTTGTCGCACGCTATTGCTCTCCTTGTCTAACGCGCTTATATGTCTCTCCTTGTTGCATGCTAGTGCCCTCCTTGTCTAATGACGCTAGACAAGGAAAGCAATAGTGTGCGACAAGGACACCCTTCGATCTATTGAAAAAAAAATTCAACTTTTTACACACAAGTTTTTCTACGACAAAACGCACATAGAAAGAAAGCGGGGAGCATAATTTTAGGAGGCATATAAAAAAGTACGCAAATTATTCCTCTCAATTAAGTTTTTTTCGTAATTAGTGCGAACTGTCACAAAAGGACATGGTGGCGCCATCTAGCGGCAACTCAGTGGTACTAATTATTTATAAAAATACTTATTTCTGCATTTTACAGGTCAAATAGGGTATGAACAGAAAGCTAAGGATCTAATTAGGGTAATACAATCGCCAAAGTTCACAATACATTTCGCTAAATTAGGTTTTTCGCAAATGAAAATTTCTCTGTTTTACGGGGTAAGAAACACTAGCGCCGCGTTGTGGCAGACCGCTGGAACTAAACGCTCCATTACCACATAAAGAAAATAATTAATTTTAATTTTTCACGCCACAAATTTGCACTCCACGAGCATATATTTCGTTGATAATGCTATCAATTACGTTCGCAAATAAATTTGAATCTAATATTCACTATAGTTTGCGAGAAATTATGCACTCACTACTGGCACTGCTCCTAACGTAAACGGAATTGAAACATTCTTTATATATGTAAACTATACTTAAACATAACATAAAACGCAAGCGTAGGGTCTCTAAAATCGAAGATGTAACCATAACAGTTCACAAATGATTTCTTTTAATGAATTTCTTCTCGTAATTTGTGGAAAAACTATCACCTGTCAATGTTTAGAGGCAGTGGTGGCGCCATCTATTGACAACTCGGTGGTACTAAAAACAGAATTTTCTACTTTTAGTACTACTGACTGACCAATAGATGGCACCACTGTTGCGTCTAAACCGTGACATATAGTGATTATAATGATATTATTATAATACTATAAATAAATAAATAAATAAGAACTTTGTAACTTCAATAACTTTTTATAAATTATAATAAATTATATAATGATGCAGTTTACAGTAAAAATAGATAAATGTTTTCAACAAATGTTAGTTATGGAATGAAT